CAGGATGAAGTTGCCAATAACTCTGTTTGTCATGTTGGGTTTTCTGAGTCAGGGTGAGAAGTTTTGAAAATGTTTGGTGCAATCTCTATTTTACTTTTGCTTTGACTATGTTTATTGTCGTCTGATTTTAAAACCTCTAATACTTTTCCAAATTACTTTAATAATTTATTTTTCCTGTTTTTCTTTTCTAATTTCAGAGTCTTCTGCAAACAATAACTGTTTCCGAATTTACAATGTTTTTGAATATAATAAAATGGAAATATTTGAATAGACATTTAGCGTCTGTCTTACTTTTCTACACCTGGGATGGAGAAAATGATAACAGTCACCTTTTACAGAAGTCATATTTATACAGTTATATATCAGATAGATGAATGGTTAGGATTAACAGGACTCTCTTTAAAAATTAACATGATTTAAAACAGTATAGTAAAGCAAAATTGAAAGTGTATTTATCTACAGAAAAAAAACCATTATAAGTAAATTAAAGGCAGACAAACAGACATATCTACCAACCACAGTGGACACACCAACTTATCCTAAATCCTCAACTGCACTTCTAATATAAATATTTCCTTGTATTCCATTAAAGATCAGATGGTGTAAATCCAAGCAGTTTTCTCCTGATTTTGTGTCCCACGTTGCCTTCAGTGTGTTGAGAGCAAAAAATCATTTCCATAGAAGAGGAGGCTTTGCATCCATCAGCTGATCCTCCCCAGTGAACTGAGAAGGGTTTATAGTCCTGTGAGTTCAACACTGCAGGCACTCAGATCTGTCAGTCAACCACAGCAGAAAAAGCACAACCACCATCCGACTCTCATCACCAATCCTCAAAATCTGGACGCTGGCTCGCTGTTTACAGTTCATTCCACCTCAGCAACATTTCAAACATGAGGTGCTGCCTTTTCTCTCAAATTTCTTCTGCTGATAAAATGAATGATTTGTTTTTGTCTGCAGGATGCAGCCGGTCAGGGAATGTGACTCAGCCTCCAGTAAAGACATTTACTCCAGGATCCACTGTCCACTATCACCTGTAAACACCAACACCAAAAGTTTATGTTTGGTCAGATGGAGGTAGCAGAGGTACACCTGGTATCAACAGAAATCTGAACAAGTTCCTAAAGCTGCTGCATTTATAATGGTATACAGAAACCATCCGGTGGTGGAGTTCCAGCCCGCTTCAGTGGAAAAGGAGATGGAGTGAATGGTGTTTTGACAATCAGTGGAGTTCAGACTGAAAAGATGCAGCAAGTTTATTACTGTCAAGTGCTCATGAAATAAACAGTCTTGGCTGTTCACACCAGCTGATTGATCTCGTACAAAAACCCTCCCTCCAAGTCAGAACTGCAGAGACCACTG